GAGGGTGAGGGATGTTCATGATTTATTTTAGATCTAAGTTGTATATTCTTTAGTTAAGTTCTTTCATTTGTTTAGCTTTAAGTTGTTGTTTTACTCTTTGTTCATAAGTTCTTTCATTTGTTTAGCTTGAAGTTGTTGTTTTTACTATTTGTTCATTAGTTTAAGTTTGACTGCGCCACTTTCTTGTGTGCTGCCACTGATGTAAAAGTGTAATGTCAATAAATATTATTATTATTATTATTTAAGGGGTGTCTTCGAAGAAGTCTCTGCAAAACTTGCTTGAAATTGGAGGTGCCATCGGACCGGAATGATCACATCGAGCATTTATATATGGCGCTCTACATAAACAACACTGCGACACCTAGGGCTATACAATTCAAGTGGGCAATAATAAATTAATTAAAGTACTTTATTTAATTTATATTCAAAAGAATTTCAAAAGAGATAGAACCTCCAATAGTAAGATGGAACATATACAAAAACACACAATATGGTACAAACAATGAACTGTCTTCATAAAGCTTAAACGAGGATAAACCTTATCAATATATTTCATCCGAACCATTTAAATTATTAAATGTAACTGTTATCTTTTAAATAAACTCTCTTGTCAAATCGGCAGAATCGGGGAATAGATTAAGTGTTTAGTGCAAGTACAAACAAAGGTACACGATTAGAATCAAATATAGAATTTAAGCTAACAAAAACAAAATATCCAAAAAAAGTCTACGTTATATTAGACCTATATTGAAAAAAATGTAAACTTTTCGAAATTCGGCCAAATATAGTTTGGCCGTGACTTTCCAAATGCTACGGCCAGGCAAATTTTTATACGGCCAGATTTGAGGAATCTGGCCGTCAAATAGGCCAAATGGCAACCCTGGTCTAGACGTAAGTAAGTGCGTATGATGCATTAGTAGCGATACGATTGATTGGTCGAAGCCTAGAAAAGTTGACCAATCGTGTTCATCGACGTTTTGGGAAACCCCCTGACCTTTCGCAAAGGAAGTTCTTTTATATCAACAAACATTTTATTCATGACATTCAGAAGAAGAGGTATTTGTTTGGGCATAATCAATTACAGAATGTAGATTACAACAAGGAAGGAAGCCTAAAAACTCAAAATGGCTAAATCAACCGATAATCGAGGCACTGCTAGTAAAAATGACACCGAAATCCCTAAAAAAAGTATGTCTGTCTGTCGTATATTCCTAGGCTGTCTTGTTGTCATCGTTGCTGTTTCGCTAGGGTTTCTTTTCCGGGAAAGACGTCAACGTGTTGCGGAGATGGAAGAGATTTTCGCCACGCACTTTGGTGAAGAAGCCTTGAATATGTTTAAGTCCTTTGATCGTAACGCAGATGGATCTATTGATATCTTTGAGTTTGAACCAATAATTGCCAGGCTGATGGAAACGGTAACTTTTCTGATAACTTCTAAAATAACAACTCCCTGTTCTAACCTTACCATAGTAGTATGCTGCTGTACGGTCGTCATATCTCAATTGAAACAGGACCTGTGTACTGTACAGTAATACTGTACAGTATAGTATAGTATAGCATAGGGATAGGCCTTATATCCTGACAAGCCAAAGAGCTGGCCTAACCAGGTTGACAAATGTTTACTTTCTACTTCAATACTCTGTGTAGTCCAAAGGTTTAGATGTTCTGCGTTTAATAGCTTTACATAACATTGTTAGGCCCAATAAAAAAAAAAATTAATTTATCACCCTCGCGCGCATGCTTTCTATGGTACTGGAAAAAAAAAAAAAAAAATTTTATTTTATTTATTTATTTTTTTCATTTATTTTATTAAATAGTTAGTAGATATTGTTTGCATTATCTAAATCATGTTTTACTTTGAATATCAATGCACCAGCAAACAACCCAAGGGTAATATTTGGCTTTAGCAAAATAAAAAATTTTAAAAAAAAGCCCCCCTCCCTAATCACTTTTCCTGCCCAGATAGGGTGATAAACTAATAATATTTTTTATAAGGCCTTAATTTGACTTCATATCAGAATGTCAGGCTAGATTTCCTGCAATTGTAAGCAACTGAAAAAATAAAAAAATAATAATTTGAGAAAAAATATCAAATTTGTCCCATCTAACTATAGAGAAGTATTTCTTCCATGATCTAATTAAGACTCCCTATAGCATGTGAGAGAAAATAATAAGTATAGAGGAAAATTAAATTAATATTCTTATTTGGAGGTAAGCTGATTAAAATATTTCATTTTTTGAATCTCCATAATGTAAGTTTTCCACTGATTTTTTTTTGTATGTGATAGGCCTTCAGTGTCTATAAATTTTTTTTGAAATCATGTATTGTACCCCACTCAGTCGGTGAACATACTGTTTAATGTGTAATAATCTAAAAGAAAGAATAGACAACTGCCTCATAATATTACTATAGATTTTTTATGGTCATAACATATCCAGGGAGTAGGACTTGTCTCTTCTCTTTGCTTTATACACTGAATTCTGTTGAATGTGTTGTTTATGTGGCTTGGAATGTGTAACTGGCATTATATTATTGCACTTAAGTAATTGTTATTTACTTTTTTAAATTCCTTTAGGAAGCAAATGAACCATTCTCATTGGAAGAAGAAGAAATTGATCCTGCAGAAGAGGTTCTAACTATTCAAGCATTCTTTCAGCCTTTACTCCAAGAAACCATGTCCAAAAATAAAGACTCTTACTTCTCTGTAAGTGTGTTTTTCTTTGTATCTGTATTAATACCTTTTAATATGTGTCATTTGTTGTATTTGTATGAATATTTTAACATTAGCACAAAGGGCTAATTTATCAATATCTAAATCTATATAATATTGTCTTTGAATTTTTCTCCTAACATGCAAGGATTTTCCTGACTGAGAGGCAAAGATGTTGGACAGAGGAGGTCTGACAATTTCTAGCAGAGACTAGCGGGATCTAGTACTGGTTATGCACTTGTTAATTGTAGTCATAGCTGGGCACTAGCCAGTACTGAGCCGAGGATGTACGCATAGTTGTGTCCCCATAGTGCAGGGACGTACCTAAAATTTACCGGTAGATGTAACAGGCTTACATGTTAGAGTAGCTGCGCTTTCGGGTGTGTAGGCCTAGTCTAGTGCTGTCAAACCGGGTCTGGTCCTGCTAGCCTACACTAGGCATCGCATTCAGCCAATACTGTCTGTTAATGTTAATTAACACTTTATTTTCCATTTTAAAATAGGAATTTGTTTTTTCTTTCCAGCAGTCTTGGTTAAAAAGAATAAAATGACATAAAAAATCACAAGACAAAACAACTTGGCAATGGCGAGGAATACGTTAAGATGTTAATAAGTTAAAATAGTAAAAAGTCACAATAAAACTCACTGTTTAAAACTTTTAATTTTACCATGTGTATCTCAGAAACAGGCTGGCCATTTTAGCAAAGATTAAAACTACAAAAACCAACCATTTTGCTATAAGATGATGACATTATGCTAATTAAATAAAACAGGTGTTATGTATACACAAGGTACAGTATGCTTATTCCTCCATGAATTAAGTGCAAGAAACACGAACATAATTATATTATATAATGCTATATGAATAACAAGGAATATGCACCTATTATATTTATACAAGTTGATGGATATTGTGAAGCACATATAAAATATTTGGACTAATTAAATTAAACATGTGTTATGAATACACAGGTTACAATATATGCTATGCATTATTTAGTAAACCTATTAAATGCCTTTAGAATTATTCAAGGTGAATATGTTAGATTTTCAAATAACAGACTGACGAAAGAAGAAGACTTATTTTCAGTGGGGTCTTTCTGATTGAACAGTACACTGGGAGACAATCCCCTACTCTCAATCGAACAGTGTACTGCGTTCTTTAACGTGCACATGGGCCATAAATGCACACGGGACCAACAGCTTAAACATCTCATCTGAAAGAGGGTAACTTGTATTTCAGCCCTCTAGCTGAAACACAAGGAGAGGCAGTGATGAGAATTGAACCGGGACCTACAGATCTCCATGGTTCAGCGCACACACAGTGGCTACCACCAGATTAGCTGACTGAGCTAAGCTGCTCTCTATATTATTATTTAGTAAACTTTTAGTTTATTAATGGCAGGAGGACCATGTATGTAGGTATCCCCATCATATGGACAGATCTACCAGGTGATAAATACTCAATAGAGCAATAAGAATCAGGGTAATCAACTTTGGGTGGAGGGTAATATTAGAATATGGTACTGTACATTTCTACAAGGTTCAACTCAGGTCCTACAACTGCTCTCCAGTCAGGGTGGTAAGACAAACGCCAGGGAAAATCAGCAATTTTGATTAGACTTATTAACTGATAGATATACTTATTAATCAATTAAACTGATCTATTTCCACTTTTTTCGTAAAAAAAAATCCTGATGACATCGCCCAGGCTGCCCATTATTCATGCGTACAACCTGTAGCTGAGCTATGGACCTGGTTCTTAAAAAACATGTGTCACTTTTTTTTAGAGTATTTTTGTAACATATACTGAGCAGGCCGTATGGTAATACATCAACTATTGTAAAACATCATTTTTAAAATATCATTTTTACTGTTAAAGCAATGTTTAACTACTACTACGTACGTTAATATTTATAAAATCCCATGGTGACAAATATAAATGATAAAGCATGGTTTAATTGATATATTTAGTTTAAGTATGAATGTAAATGCAATGATGATTATATATATTTGGCCTGTAGCTTCCGACGCGTCTCTAGCTCCTGCCAAGCTCTCACATGCTTCTCCAATTTAGACCTAGACTAGACCTTCAAGTACCTAGGTCTTATCATCCAATATATCAGCGGGGCATTTTACCAGTACTACGGCAGTAAGTGGCAGGGACTTAGCTGGGGATGTACATAAAATGATGCCCTGCATTGCGGGAGGTGGCCAGGACTTTCACATGCATGTAACCGTTTTGAAAATTACATCCAGCTAAGTCCCCGTTAGGCTGGGTCTGGAGGGGGGAGACTATAATTGACAAGTGCATTATAGCCCCTTGGTGCCTAAATGGCTAGGAAATTTTGGTTATTTAAAAACTATTATCAGAAATTTTATACAGTATTATGCCTAAAAAGTCCTTTCATACTCATCAGTGCTTGGCCTCTTCCAAGGGCACTGTTATTTTACTGGAATTAGAAGTGCTCATGCAACAATATCTAAGATGCTCTTTTAATTTGAGGTGTAAAGATATCTGTGATCAATTATTAATTTTTTATATCACATTATTTTATCAACTATCAGCTTACAAGTAATTTTATCATATCTCAAATTGAAGGCAAATGCAGATTCTTTGACTGGATTGGATAATTGGCATGACCTTCAGAAGCATATAGAGGGGTTTGCTGTGTCAAAGTTCAGAGCATTTCTACCTGATCAAATAATGCCTTTAGGGGAAGCATACACGGTGATTGCATCAAATCTGAACCTGTTTTCGAGTCAACTGTCAAGCAATCGATTCTATCCACCAAAGGTCAAAGGCAAAGAGGTCATCATTTACCAGTTGCTGTCGATGTTTCATGAGCGGCCATTTGTACGCTCTAGGTTTGCACCCCAAGGAAGCGCAGCTGTCATTAGAGCTCAGAATGAACTCTATTTTGATATTGCATTTAGGTAAAATTTGCTTTCATTTCTTCACTAAGCTATCAGTGTCTTGATAACAGAAATAAACATTAGGTTTCACTTCCTAAAAATGTAAATCATAATTTTTTTTATATTGCTGTTAGTCTACCAAATGCGAGTAAATTTACTCTATGGTATAATAATAATAATAATAATGAGAATAACGAGAAAATAAATTTTATTGTTAATAACCACTACTGTTTCATTCAGGATCCATGCAGAATTTCAGTTGAACAAACCACCGTCAAATCCATTTTGGTTTACTCCTGGACAGTTCACTGGTAACATCATAATGAGAAAAGATGCATCGCACATCCATTCCTTCCATATGTATGTGCCAACTAACAGAAGCCTAAATGTTGGTAAGCCTAAATTTATAATATTATAAATGTTTTGTAACATTCCATATTCACAAAGATGGAGCATTATTAACCTGCATTAATATATGCATTGAATTTATGAATATTTCCATGGGACAAATCTGTTTTTTTTTTAAATGTTAATCGACAGATATGGAATGGCTAAATGGCCCCAGTGAGACTGAGAACATGGAGGTTGATATTGGCTTTATGCCACAGATGGAACTAACCGTGGAAAGACCTTCAGAGCAGGTAGGTACCCAATAAATAACAATAATAATTAAACATACGCCTAGTACAGTGAATGGTCACAAGAAAACCCAGCTAATGCTATGTGAATGTTTAAATAGTTTAATGTACAAATATGTACATGATCTGTTAGAATATGTTCATCCCTTCTAATTGAAGTATTAGTGTTTCTAAAGGATATTTGCAAATGTGTGATGTATTTTTTACATGTACATTCTTTACTGAATTATTGTATTAGTTTAGTAGACAATTTTTGGCAAACATTGCGTGGAAGTGCACTTTATTGTGAAGATCTGATCCTCTGATAACACTGCTAGCTAGTATAGTGCCCTCTCTTGATAAAAATAGAGGATATTCTTCCTCCGCCTCTCATATAGACCCCAAAGCTCGTGTTTTAATTGCACTGATCCTGATAACACTGCTAGCTAGTATAGCGCCCTCTCTATATAATTTTGCCAACAAATGAAGTTGCAGGAACCACAAACTAATGTCAATTCTGCCTCTGCCTTTCATATAAACCCCAAAGATCATGTTTGTAAATAAACATAAATTATTTTAGTAGTCCATCGGATGAGGAAATTACCCAAGAACAAGCCATGGAAGCATTAGAGGTCAAACTGTATCCATTTAAAAAGGTGAGGTCCATGTGTTTGTGATACAGTATATATTTTATCAGATAGTTGCATAAATACAGTTAGTGGTATTAAATCATTATATAACAAAATTTAATATTATCAAATGCCTTAAGTAATGTTAAAATATCAATAATTTTCATAAATACAGATAATTATGATTTTTTTTTGTTGTTCATATAATATAGAAAACTGAAAGTTCTCATGCTCTATAATTGTGGTTAAAAAAAAGGTGTACCTGAAACGTATGACTCTTCAGATACTATGCAGTATAACAAATTACATTAAATATTTGTATGAACTCTACCCCGTAGCAGAAGTTGAACTCGCAACATTTAGGTTGATGATTTTTTATCCTTTGTTTATTCTTGCTTAAGAGAATTTTGCTTCTTTTTTATGATTGTGAATTTGTGATGGATGGGGTGGGGTTTGGGGCATCCCAATTTCTGGGAGACATCCATGAGTTCTGGGAGACTTGGGACCCTTGACTACTGAAGCAGCCGTAAAGAAGTGCTTAGAAACTTTATACTCAGTATTTACATCTTTCCACTACAGGGCCTGAAATGAGCTATATCATCAGGATAAGTTCTACTCTTCTGAAAGGTGCAATGGATTCTTCAAATGGCACGCAAGCCGCTGGACCTCCATGTTAAGTCTTTATTCGAGTAGACTCTGTTCTACCAACTGAACCCTGGAAAAGCTTCTTAGATCTGCACCTATTCTAAGGCTGTAGTCAACAGTACCCCGCCTTACCACTTGGCCCCTTGACACATGAAGCGCATAGGCTTTCTTGCAATGTATGTGACTGCTAAATTATAGTTTATATAATAAAAATTCTTCTTAATTTTTGGATATTTCAGGTAAAATACTATCCATTTGAGGAAGCATTTCAAAAAGCTGAGAGTGAGAAGAAGCTTGTGCATTCATTGCTACTGTGGGGTGCTTTGGATGATCAGTCCTGCTGAGGTAACAATGCCAATCAAGGCTTATCACCTTTTACTTAATCACTGTCCTATATCTCATAACTTCTTTTATATTTTGTAATGCTGTTATTTTAATAAATATGTATATCTCTGTATATAAAGTTTAAAACATGTTAGAAACCACTGCAGTCTTTACTAAATATTTAATACCTTGTTTTCAGTGCCTAATGTTAAAAAACATTTGTTTTCCTGCATAGAATTTCTCTGGATTTACTGATAATTCTGATATCATACAATGTAATTTTTTTCACACTTTATTTTGGTTAATAAATATCTGATCTTATTTAATCAATTCTATTATTTATCTCTTTTTTTTTCCTGTACAGTAATTGCTTTTTTTGTTTATTTCTGGTTGTTTTAAATATATTTTTTTCTGGATTTTTCTAATGAAATATATTTTAATTTAATTTAAATTATATTTCATTGTATTCTTTAATTGGCAGGCTGTGATTGGCAGACACCTGTTGTTTGGGTGTGTAATAAAATGAAATAAAATGTATTTAAGCAAGGCCTTGGTCACAATGTTATAATGGGTTGCCTTCACAATATTTTTAACTTTTATGATATCTTTTTTTCTAGAGAATATTTAATTTTATTTTGTTTGTTTGAATTTTGGCAATATGAATGTCCATTTTTTCTAATTACTATACTGATTCCTTTTAATTATCTCATCCAAAGAACTCTAGAGTGTGTTATTGTATGTTTCATGAAAATTTGAAGAATATTATTCCAAATTAAGCATATCAAATAAATATTTATACTTCATAGTTCAGGACCTAGTTGTCCAATTATTAAGGTAATGTAATACCATGCATATTTTAAACAGACTGAGAGGAGCCATGTCCATTTGTTCATTAGAACATCATTAGATGTTATGATGTTCTAAATAAAGCATGGAATATTGATTAAATATGACTTCTCTTTATATCCTATTGGGAGTGTGGATGGTATGAAATTAATCAGTATACAATATTTGGTGCATGACCATTGAATAAAATTTGTGCAGTAAATGTTGGTTATCTTGTACTGTTTTTCAAAATAAGGTTTCTAAATTATTCAAATTCTTGAAATTAAAAATCGTTTGTGACATTATTTCTGAATAAAATACAAACTAGGAATTATGTTTATAAAACTATTGTAGCCTAATAATAAACCAATACTAGGGCTTGTAAACATACACCCTCATATATAGAGAGAAGCATGAATACAAAAATTAAAATATTGTGTACAAATTGTAATGATGTTCATGCATTTTTATAGCACCTTTCACAACAAAACTGTCTGAAGGTGCTTTTAAGCCACTAAAAAACTACAGAAAGTGAAATGATGTTTGTGTTGCGAAATAACAACTATAAATGAATTGATTATTATAGGTTCGGGGCGGACTCTTCGAGAGAGTGCTCTCGAGAGTTCGCCCATCCTGCAGCTCCTTGGAGACCGTTTCATCAGCAGTTGGTCGCTGGTAAATGAATTGAAGGATTTGCAGAAAAATGCAGTCAACCAGAATGCTGCTAAATTTGCTTCACTTTCTTTAGATGCTTATACGTGAGTAAACATTGCTATTCGATAAATTTGGAACTGTATTGTGGTAATGCTATAAATATATATAAATCAATTGCGAAACGTTAAGGATGAATCTGCAAATATAAACAAATAAGTGCCACAACCAGGATTTGAACCCAGGAGCTTCTGCTGCCTATGCAGTTGCCTTAACCAACTACACCATTGAGGCTTTGATTGGATTTCAGATCCGATTAAAGCATTTAATTCTTCACAGTCATGCAATATTGTATGCCCTTTTCTTATAGGCTATAAGCATTTTACGACAAGACATGACCGTGGGTGTGTGTGTGTGTATGTGTGTGTATATGCACCCTCCTAAATTGTATTGAGAAAAATAATTGTATGTATTATTTTTATCATTATAAACATAGTACCAGTCCATATTCCCAAAATTTTTGCACCTCAGCCCCAACTATTTGTAAAAAATGTATTTTATAATATTGCAATTTTCGAAGCTGTTAATTTTGGGGGCCTTGAAGGTGACTTTGATAATAGCCTTATTCACAAATAGCAAGAGCAATGGTAAATCCTCTAAGACGCCACCAAGAACATGTATGCCATAGTCGCATAGTACAATCTTGAATTTCATACTCCTAAATTATTGCGCTATTTCATCATGTGATTAATAAATTTGTATATGCGTCTTATTAAATCGTACCGTCATTATATTGCATTTTGTTAAAAATGTACTGACACGGTAGGATTGTTATAGTATGCCGTGACTTCTTGACTTTGTCATAAAACTGTAATAACTTGTAACCCTGTACCAATGTTTATTATATTGACAGCGACTTGACAGTGTCATAGACCGCAATTGACATTGTGCGAATTGCCCAGATAAATCAAGGTGTTTCTACTTTGAAAATCATGATCTACTGTAGCAAACATCATGTACGTGGAATAGAGGCACGTAGTATAATGGCCCAACTAATTGCCAAGCTTAACATGAAATCTGTCAAGGCCTGAAGCTTTGTTATTTGAAAAACACATCATTAGTAGAAATTGGTGTCAAATGTCAGATTACATGGTTTCTTAGAAAATCACGTTGATGACTTTCAGAATTTGTTTTCATTATTAGAAAATCCATTTTTCTGTCCTTAAGTAATTATTAGGTGTTATCTTAATGGTTCTCCAAAATTTCTTTGAATTGTATTTCCTTGATAGTACCAACAAATGTCTTTGTATCAGATTAGTATATGTCTCAGACCCTCTCAATCTGCAAAGCATCCAGCTAGTATGAAACATTTTTTATCTATATTGGTAGTGCAATATGAATCATTTAATTTATAGTATCTTTATAAATAGTTTTTAACAAACTTGTTGTATATTTATATTTATTGATACAGTCATTGTCATTATTTTGATGTTTAATTGGTTTAGTTACAGAGAATGACAATATATTTTCCAAATAAAATAAGATTTGAATTTTCTAAGTATAAATAAAAAGTTGAATACTGCTGAAATATATAGCCTATGCTCATAAAATATAAATCAAGTTTGAAAATTGTTCATCAAAATTTATGTGAATTGTTATTTTCTGTTTTCCAGATTTCCTGTGGAAATTTTGGTCCAGTTTCCTAACGGAACTGTTATAAATCATATAAATGCTAATGATTTGCTAGACGAAGGCCATGAACAACAGGAGGCCAATATTCTAGGGTTAGTTATCATTCATTATTTTCCAACATAAACTTTGGGAACATAGCCTTACAAAACCAATTTAATTAAAAAATAATATACACTTACGGTATACTGACAAATTCATTACCAAACACAAGTTTATTATTGTTATCTACATTCAATCAGTCAACCAAACTAAGCTTTAACAGTGGTGACACAACATTGCATCTAAAGGAACTGTATTTTACTAAGTTACAGTAATACTGTATATAAAGCCATAAAACATAAGATTTATCAATTTATTATTATAGTAATACAGTAATAATAAGAAATATGTGCTTATTATTAATACTGGGATAAGGCTGACCAAATTTTAAGTTTGCATCCAGATAGTAGTTAATTATATCTGAATAAACAGCAAGTCCTAAAAATACATAATAATCCGGGAAGGGAATATAGGTTAAGTATAAAATTTTTTTATTTTTTTTTTATTTTTTTTTTTTATGGCTTAATGGATTAGTTCTGCCTGATGCATAATTATCAACTATACCAAAGCCTGAGGCCTACTGTTGCTACCATTTCACACATAACATCATCTATGAAATAATAATTTTTTTGTTTATTTACAGTTTATTTACAGACCAGCTAACGAGTAGCTATGACAAATTTCTGAGAGATAGTCTTGTCAAAGCCCAGATGACAGTTTAAGTATTTAAACAAATTATTTTAATTTGTATGTTATTTTCAAATATGCCAATATCTTTCACATTTTTTGTACCTTTTTTTTTCTTACAATTGTTTATCCATTTAAATGTTATGATCATAGTCAACCGTGGTCTCAAAAATCAACTTATTACTTAACCTCACAATGGCAACAATACACCTTGTAAATTTAAACCTTTTGTGTATATACATTTCAAATATTAATAACAAAATAATAGCTGTGTGTATTAATTAGTAGTTTTTAAATTAGCTACTATATAATATTTATTCCGAAATTGCTTATGAAACAACGGCACCTATCAGTTTGATGGTGCTTCCAAACACATACATAAACAACATCTCAATCAATCAAAAGGCACAGTATGAATTTGACACGTGATAAAATATTTTATTTTTGTGTAATTTTTGCAGCTGTATTAGTGGTCTTGTCTAAAGTTAGCTGAGCAGATATGCTATAGTTTATCGTCAAGTGTTGTTGCTATCTAGTCAAATAATCTAGAAGTTGTATTAATAATACATTATGACTAACCAAGTGAAACAGAGATGCAGGGGTGGTGCCAGTAAAGTACAGGTGCACCATTATTGGACATAGATTTTAAATTTGAATTTAAAATAGTAAGCAATGCAAAACCAAATATAAATATTACAACAAAATTATAATGAATAATGATGATTGTAGCTGCATTTTAGTTTGTGGCATCATTGAAACAAGGTATGCAGATTGATGACGTCATTTATTTTTCAAAATAACATTTTTCCAATCATAATGCCAGTAACATTAGGCGACAGAATTCGCTAGCTGATGTTGGCAATTCCTGTCAAAACCTTCGCAAACCACCAGAGTATTTTAGTGTGACACACAGCAGGTCACGATCCACAGTTTGCAGAAGGTTGATGTAAATAGTGCGTAAGTTTGTCTTCTGTGCACCAAGTAAAGTAATCAAATTGCAAATAACATCTCTATTTGTTTACACCATTGAAATTTAATATTGCCACAATTAATTAGATCTCTAATAAAAGGAAATGGGTTCATCTACGAATGATCTGTTACAGATCGAAATATTTAATTGCAATGGCATGTGTTTCTTTATATTATGTAGTATGATTTATATTTAGTTATAGTTCTAATTAAACTAGAATACAATTTGATCAAAACATATTTTTATGTGACGATGTCTTCATGATGATTGTTCTTTAAAGTATAACATTATGCAGAGAACAGTTTGATATTTTATACTGACAATCACATAGAAAGATTTTTTGGTCTCTGGATGTTGAGTTTTATACATCAGGGCTTCCAAATTTTTAATAATTATAAAATCGTAAAGGGTGTCTAGTTTTGTAAATCTGTCTTCTGTCACTAGATTTTTATGTTTAATGTATCGTTATTTTAAGGAGTACTTTTTGGTAAGCTAAGGAATAAAATATTAAGATTACTTGTTTTTATGTGCTAATTTTTTTTGTTCTATTTTTAAACTTACTGTCATGATCATAATGACAATCATCATCATCTTCTCTATTATCATTACTGTTGTCATCGTAATCAATAAGCAGCTTTCGATTTGGAAGACGCGGCGTTCTACGACGGACAGTGGAGCGTGAAACCGTACTGCGCATGGGAATACATGGAGAAGTCGTTCGTTGTGTGGATTTGACAATGGGCTTTAAGCGATTTGGCATTGTGTTGACTACGGCAACATGAGTTTTATAAATATGCGCTCGCTGGGGGGTGCCTGCATAAGTAATCACGCGATACGAGGGAGTGCATCGTCCTGTAAATCGAAACAGCTTTGCTGTTGAGAATGGGAAGTGTGTAGTACGACGTTCATGGTTGACTGAATTCCCCACCGCAGCTTCCCGCATCGCCCATTTCGAAAGCTAACTAATAGGTACACTTAGGACATCAATGGTCATTATCTGCCACAATTCTCTGGCTGCTGTGAGAATATCCAGTGCTATTTGGAATGTTAATTTTCACCAAAACATTCCCTGCGGCGGATGCAGGATTTGGCGGTAGGGGGTGTATGAGAATCCACACCAACTCAGCTCCACCATGGTTGTTGCTGAGGTGAGACAATTTCAGAATATGGACCCCAAGGTGCCCGGAAATTGCACTCCCATACTTTGAAAATCTTACCTGTACTATTTTTTTAAATACAATGTAGGGGCTGTCTCTTATACACATCTAGATGTGTATAAGAGACAGATTCCGATGTAAATAGTGCGTAAGTTTGTCTTCTGTGCACCAAGTAAAGTAATCAAATTGCAAATAACATCTCTATTTGTTTACACCATTGAAATTTAATATTGCCACAATTAATTAGATCTCTAATAAAAGGAAATGGGTTCATCTACGAATGATCTGTTACAGATCGAAATATTTAATTGCAATGGCATGTGTTTCTTTATATTATGTAGTATGATTTATATTTAGTTATAGTTCTAATTAAACTAGAATACAATTTGATCAAAACATATTTTTATGTGACGATGTCTTCATGATGATTGTTCTTTAAAGTATAACATTATGCAGAGAACAGTTTGATATTTTATACTGACAATCACATAGAAAGATTTTTTGGTCTCTGGATGTTGAGTTTTATACATCAGGGCTTCCAAATTTTTAATAATTATAAAATCGTAAAGGGTGTCTAGTTTTGTAAATCTGTCTTCTGTCACTAGATTTTTATGTTTAATGTATCGTTATTTTAAAGAGTACTTTTTGGTAAGCTAAGGAATAAAATATTAAGATTACTTGTTTTTATGTGCTTATTTTTATTGTTCTATTTTTAAACTTACTGTCATGATCATAATGACAATCATCATCTTCTCTATTATCATTACTGTTGTCATCGTAATCAATAAGCAGCTTTCGATTTGGAAGACGCGGCGTTCTACGACGGACAGTGGAGCGTGAAACCGTACTGCGCATGCGAATACATGGAGAAGTCGTTCGTTGTGTGGATTTGACAACGGGCTTTAAGCGATTTGGCGTTGTGTTGACTACGGCAACGTGAGTTTTATAAATATGCGCTCGCTGGGGGCGCCTGCATAAGTAATCACACGATACGAGGGAGTGCGTCATCCTGTAAATCGAAACAGCTTTACTGTTGAGAATGGGAAGTGTGTAGTACGACATTCATGGTTGACTGAATTCCCCACCGCAGCTTCCCGCGTTGCCCATTTCAAAAGCTCACTAATAGGTACACTTAGGACATCAATGGTCATTATCTGCCACAATTCTCTGGCTGCTGTGAGAATATCCAGTGCTATTCCCGTCTAATTCCATGACCCTCCAATTCTAGTCTACTTTTTCAAAGAACAAAACAACTACCTTCAATATTTGTACACAAATCTAACACTCTAATTTGAAACCGAACTCCAAAACCACCCCAAATTTTCAGACCCCAAAAGTGGTCTCAAATTGGAGCACAAACTATACTTTCCTTATACGGTAATTCTAATTCTTATTGGCTACCTTATTTTGAAGACATCCTTTTGACAAGAAACATGCTGTACAACAACAACAAAAAAATTACATAATGCACTTAAAATTCAACAATTCTACTTTCTATAGGAAGGTAATCAAAATGTAAATGAAAGTTAGCAATCATCAACACTTCGGATGAGGATGGTAGAGTCATACAAAAGTAATTTGTTCCGTTGTATTGGCAATCATCTCCCAACTGATGCGCATTCAATTGTACCTATAAATAATCAATAACACGTCAAAAGAAGTACTTCTGCTTATTTTACATCTTGGCAGTCCTAAAAATTACAAGATTAATATTTTATAGGTACTATTTTCTTCACATCCATACAATGATAAAATAATACAAGAATAATAAGAACACAAATAGACAAGAAAACATAAGGACCAAATTATATAGAATTTATGTAGAAGTGTGTGGTGCAGGGTGTAAGGCGTTGGACTTTCAATCGGAAGGTCGGGGGTTTGAGACCCATGCTCATCACACTGCCGGTGTTTTTTTTTTATCCTTGTTCACCTCTCTTCACCCAGGAGTACAAATAAGTAGCTGGTAGGAGGTGAATGATTTGGAATGAAATTATTAGTGCAGATAACGCGCATAACTAGGAATTCTCACCAGTTAGTGGAGGAGGTTGCATGTTGTGCATGATGGATTCTGTATCCAATGACCAGGGAAAAAGGTGCCTTGAGCAATTTTCTGATCTTAATGAAATAGCGCTATGTAAATGTCACATTATTATTATTATTATATGTGCACTATATAAATCTTATAAGAAAAATAAATAAATATATGTTCAAAAAAAAATAGAAAAAGGTTTACTTTTGGAACATCTAATTTTACTGTTATTCCTGACCTGCACCCAAAAGTTGTGTCTGGAAGTGTATGATTTCACTGAGATACAAGATACAAGATAACTTTATTGTCCAAAAGGAAATTACATTTGGATATTACATTGCATGAACAATTTTTAAAAGTCAAACATAAAAAGCATGCTAGATATCAATACTGACAAAGTCTATACACACATAGATAATGCATTTGAGACAACCAACCATTAAGGATGTTTTTTTTCGTCTTTCGTGGATGTTTTTTTTACTTCATTTTAATCATTCTTTTTTTCTTTTATAACATATATGGCCTTGGATGAAAAAGACGCTTGTTATTGAAGTATAAAAATAATGTACCTCTATTAATAATGAAGTATTGTGAAACACAAGTAATAAAAAAGTGTGTATTACGACGTTCATGGTTGACTGAATTCCCCACCGCAGCTTCCCTCGTTGCCCATTTCAAAAGCTCACTAATAGGTACGCTTAGGACATCAATGGTCATTATCTGCCACGATTCTCTGGCTGCTGTGTGAATATCCAGTGCTATTTGGAATGTTAATTTTCACCAAAACATTCCCTGTGGCGGATGCAGGATTTGGCGGTAGGGGGTGTATGAGAATCCACACCAACTCAGCTCCACCATGGTTGTTGCTGAGGTGAGACAATTTCAGAATATGGACCCCAAGGTGCCCGGAAATTGCACTCCCATACTTTGAAAATCTTACCTGTACTATTTTTTTTAATACAATGTGGGGGGGGGGGG